ATTACACGTAAACGAATAACACTTCCTACTTTCCATTCAAGAATCCTCATAAGACTGAAAATTTATTTCTTCAATATCCATTTGCTGACAACGCTTTGTATACATTGCACTATGATAAAGCTAACCACCTTTTAGAGTTCCGTGTACAGGTATAAGACATCCGTGTTTAGCGGAAATAAGCTAACCATTTTGTTATCAAAATATCATTTATTCACCAAATAGACCAGGTTTGTTCTTCAAGCAAATGTTTCTGGTTGTGTATCTTGCATGGTGCATTCGTAGAATTAGCTAAATAACAAGAACAGTACTTAAAATTAGAGTTTATTAATTATTCTTTAGATATCACAAGACTCTTCAACGACAGATAAAAAACATTATTCCATGAATCTGCCAGAACACTACATAACAGTTTGTAAAATAATGAAATAGCTTGAACAAGCATTAGTTGACAAAACTAACTAGTGTGTTATATTTATTGAATTGCTAATAATACAAAAGATTTGGCAAAGAGGAGACATTAAAAACGGAGACGAACTTGTTGTAGTTTTGTTAATTCATAGATAGCATAAAATGATGTGTCATGTGATGATAAAATGTCTTATTTATAGAGAAAGCATAATCCTATCTTTTCACGATTCGTTTATTCTCACAATCTACCCTTAGGTCAGAAAAAGGCAAGAATAACACACCACTTATGACATACTAAAACCCTTTTAATTTGCCCTTAACATGGTTACACCAAACGTGATTCTCCTTTATTACCAGCTTATCAACAGTTCGACCTCAGCACTCATGCATTATAACCAGGCTCTATACTCTCTTCAAATGTCCCCCCCCCCCCTGTCCTTAACATTGATAAAGAATAGCTTGTTAAATTGAAACCGAACAAGACTTTAATAATCAGCTGGTAAAGGATTAAAGCATGTTGTCTAACATTAAATATCTACTATCTACTATTATACTACATGCATACAGCAATCGGCAAGCAACCTTGTATACATCAGAATGTTGTTTACACAATGAAGTTATTTACATAATGCACTATTTGTTTTGTAATTTATGAAGTAAAGCATGATGCTTTCCTGTTGTAGATTTCATATTTAAAACATACTGAATGCAAGTTATCATTTAGTAAAAATAAATCAATATAATAGAACAACAATCATAATAATTCCTTTTGCGAAGAACGTGCAGACATTTAAAAATATTCTGTTATCACGAAATAATGGCCGCAACAAAAGATGAAAGCGCAAACTGATAAAATCTTCAAAACATTTTCTAAATAAATCGACAATAAATCTTATTGATCTGTTTATCTTATTTTGTTTTCATTTGGGCTCAGTTTGCAGGGTAATTTAAATTTCTTTGTTTCCTAAAAGGTTCATACATTTACGTCGTTATTTTCGCAATGTAATCTAAAAAAAGATATATAATAGAAATTGATGTATCACGACAAACAAAACATATTTATATTACTGATGTTTAAAAGGTATAAAAACTGTGAGATCAAAATGATATGCAATTGATACCACTATAAAGCAAAAGTTTTCTATTTTGTGAGTCTCGTATTAACAACCACAGATTAATGTAACTGCTATAGGAACTGATCAATTACGAGCATCAAACGTTAAAAAGTCTAGTGGCTGCATAAAATTGAAACAGAACAAAATTATGTTGTTTTTGTTTATATGACATGATATATTTTGCATAAATACGTATAAAAAGTTAAACGAGGGGGGGGAATGATTTCAGCCTCGCCTCAATGATTATTATATAGCATTGAAAGTGAATGACGTAAAAAGTAAAGAGTAATGATATACCGTATATGTACTTATTTCTGCAGGCTTAATATTCTGCGATTTTTATTAAAATAAGAGTGTTTAAATTTCTGCGTATCTTATTTCTGCGTCGTCATCATTCTCGCATTGATGCGTTTTATTTCTGTATCATTTTAATTAAGTTATTTGCACAAAATAGACCAATAAGAACAGACATCATTTCAAGATTTCTTGATACTACATTACTTCCCATTGAAGATGCAGACAATTGATAATGTGTTTCGTCGTAATCATTATGAGTATATACACGTTAATAAACAAAAAATAGAACTTGCAATGACAACAAATTTAATACTGTATGTGTATAAATATGAAGTGTGAAAAACAAACAATGGCAAAATCGCACATAGACAAGATATTGTACAAATACAAATTAAAGAGTATGTTTATTGCAGGTTCTATTAACAATAACAAACAAGGAGCTTTTTTATCACGTCTTTGATTATGATATCGTTTAATATAATTATTCTAAAATATGAACGCTTAAACAGCGGTACAAAACAGACTCAATTTTAGTATTAAATTGAAATAATTTACAATATAAACGTTTCCTTCAACAACAGCCAATATAATACAACCGTCAAACTACAAACTATAATGCAAACAAACCAAAATCGGTGGCTGAAATATTCGGACATTAACATGCAAAAAAGCTTAATTTTCTGCGGATTTTAAATCTGCAGTGTCGTTGTGAACCGCAGAAATATAAGAAATAAAGTTCCCGCAGAAAAAAGTACTTATACGGTATATAAATAAAGAACATGTAAAAAGGGGTTCATATAAGTGATGTTTTGCTCGGCAAGTACTAAACTATCACTGTAAAGATGTGAAATACATGCATTTTGTAAGATTAAGATCAATGACAAAATGCAATACCGCCCATTTATTTCCAAGTGAAGCTTACAAAGTTTGCAGGTATTGTAAACATATTTTAGTTTAATACAAAAGTATCAATATTTAAAAGAAAATGTCCTTACGTTTTCTTATAAATTACTTTTTCATAATGTAATTATATATAGCATACGTATTTTATATTATTAGTTAGACAAGTTGGTGATGGGAGAGAGAAACAGAATAGTATGTCCTGAATTAAATAAATATTTCAAGAGGCAGTAGTTATTTTAAAAAATCATACAAAAAACAGCTTCCGTAGTTCAGTGATTTAAATATAACTTACATACACAACAAAATAATATTCGAGTGTTGCTTCAGTGCATTTAGCAGTTACAGATGCAGATTTATTGGCATACTAATGACAATCACAATACGTTTGACCATGTACAAACATTTAAAACGGACGGGTAATATGCTTTATAAAGCATTTAGCTTGCATCATATGTTCAAAAGTATATTTGAAAATGCCATTTCAACGGTAATATATAATGATCTAAATTATTTTGAAAACTAATGAAGAAGTGGTTGAGACTGGAGAAGCGGCGAAATTTGTATATTTGCATATGAATTTGAATATTTAATATTTAGTCGTTTTTCTTTTAATTCTATGGAAACAAGAAGATACCATACTGCTGCATTTGTTTAAACATGAAAAGAAACTATGAATTTATATTTGTGTCTGTCATTACTATAGATTGCACAAAATGGCAGTACATTATATTCCTTTTGTTTACGTAATCCGTTTTATTATTGGTATATTATTTTTATTTAAGTTATTTTTAAGATATACGAGTATTATCCTAAAATATGACAGGATTAAAGATTTGATCTAAAATATAAACTAAGATAATCTATCAAATTGTATAAGTTTTCCATACAATAGGTATGTGCTCAATATCTTATAATAATATACCAGATCTTTTTTTTTCTCAGCCTGAAGCTTAAAAAAGGGTATCCTTAGTTAAACAGTTGAATTAGTAGTGATTGTAAAACTAGTTTATGTACACGTGAACAATATGAAACAACCAGAAAATTGAGAATTAAGGGAACATCCAATTATAAAAAGCATGTTTCTGTTTGTTAATGTATTGTGTTTTTCTTATAATTACAGATATGTAACATACTATCTCAATTACTGTTGGATACTTCCAATGACAGATGCATAAAATTACGCGAGTATGCAAGATTTATTATAACATAACATGATATTATTCCATACATTTATTGTATTAGAGACAAATGAATACATATGTTAGAATCGTGTATAAACATTTCCTCTAGGATATCGCTTTCAAAGTCATTGAATTAAATTTGATATGATTAAAATCCTAGTTTTATATTTAATTTAATCATTTGTATTGATTAATCTATGTATTACTCATTATTTTATTTATTCATTCATTTATTTATTTGTTTATTTATTTATTTATTTATTTATCTATTTATTAATTAAATCATTTGTTGTTGTTGTAAATTTGAGGGATCCGTTTTCTGCAAATGGAAAGTCAGATTAGAATTATAATGGTAGCTTTTTAATTTTAATTTGATTTTGTTTACCGATTTTTATTATTTATTGGTTGCTTTTTTTATTATGATTTGAATTTTGGTACCGCTTTTACTTAATCATTTTTGCAGCTTTATTATTTTGATTTGATTTTCGGTATCTATTTTTATTATATTTGTTATAAATATAATCATATATTATATCTTCTGTTTAAATAAATATTAATTTAATAAACACGTTTGTATAAATATTTGATCTTCACCAAAAAATACTTATATTATATTTCACAGAATATTTGATATCCTAACAGTGTTCCCTTACTATATGGAGGAGGGTGAATGTATTTCAAAATCAACATGTATTGCAATATGACCTATGAATCACCATGCTTATTTCAAAATGTAGTTTTTGCAGTCAAGTTCTTTCTTGTCATCCCACACACAACACCCATATAACCATGCTATCCTGACACCAATATCATTAAAATAAACCAAATTTATCAAACTTACTTTTACAAAATATGATTTCATTGACAGGTTCATTCAGTAGTAGCACATTTAAATCAATCAGATACATTCATAATCGCATTGATGTTCGAATATGAGTCTATCAAACCGATTAGCTAAATAGCAAATGAAATAATAGAATTCAAAACCTGAAAGTACCATATTGATTCCTATTGTTGAGAGCCATTAGATGTAACACAATATTTACTACAACAAACTCCACTACTATTGTTATTATAATTTTAGTGAGCGCTTTACATCCTGCAAAATATTTTTAAATGAATAAAAATACAGTTTTCAAAGTGCTTAGAAAGTTATATATTGTAATTTACTGCGTTATTTATTTGCGGGGTAAAACCGGAAGTAAAATTATTGGAGATCGATTCCAGCGTAGCCGTTTAGAGCATATAAAGGCTGCGAACATGTCAAAGGAGTAATTTGTTTCAGAGAGTCTTCTTTATTCTGGAAGGAAAAATAGGTATGTACAGTTGATATTTATAAGTCTATATAGCGCAAGATATATTATATGTGATATATTTTATTTGCTATCCTTAAAGAAAAAAAATGTTTAATAACTGCACATATTTTTAATCATATTAATATGTAATATTGCATTCATCTTATTAATAAATGCATTTCATTGTATACTTCTAAATGGCATTTCAAAATCTACTATACTATAAACAAATGTTGACGCAAAATATGCTACATAAAAGAAGTAGATGAAATAAAAATAGTAATAAGAACAATGCAATTTATAAAATGAATAATTGATTTTACCAAGAAAAAAGATATACGATGATCTTTATCAAAAATAATTTAACGTTCGTATTCTCATACTTATTGATAGTTTTATACTTTCGATCATTTTTTGACTTTAAGTTAACCAATAATTTGAAGTAAAATATTATTAACCGTTTTTCGTGTTAAAGACGCGCATTTTTACATGCTAATCCAGAAAACGTCTGTAAAATCATATGTTAGAATAACATTATAATTTTACACTTTTTTATTTAAATTAGAAAATAAGATATCTTTCCAAGTACCGAAATATTTCTAATTTGTGATGAATACAATAATAAAATAATTAAGAGATATATAAATATAGCACGAAATATTGTATATTTTATTTTACGTTTCCTTTCTTTATGTTTTATGAAATTTTTAGTTTCATCTGATGTCAATCATCATAGTTTGTTGACGGTATTTATAAATCGACATAGTTCTAATCTTGATTAAAACGCTTATGTGGTAAATACAACTCACACTTTTATACATCATGAAAATTGAAGCATATGTTTTCTGTTTTACTTTGTTTAAACAACATGAATTCACTTTCAAAGCAGTAATTGAAAATAAAATGGCAATACTTTCAAAATGATTTATCTCCGTTGATTATAGTCCATTCTATGTCTATAGATACCGGTAGATAATATTTTGTGCGCAATAATGACTTTAAAACAAACGACCTTTTAATTGTAAAATAAATAAACGACGATGATTTAAATAATATAACCAACTTAATCCTTTAAAATATGCATAATCAATTCATTATTGATTAATAGCTCTTGAAATGTATATTTCTTTTTCTTTATTTCGATTTTTATCTAATCAATTAAATTATCAATAATTATTGTTTATTTGATATTCGTTTAATAATTACAAAAAGCATTTGAAAGAATAATGTTTTTCATGATTGTAAATTGAAATGAAAATAAAATGAGATAAATACATAATTATACAATTATGGATGTACATGCTTCCTTATGTTCTGAGCGCAACCTAAACTTAACCGAATGTAATAACGTCAAACTGATTAGGTTCTTAGATACAACATCACTGCTTCGGATAGTTCAGGCATGAGTTCAGATATTTTACTTAAATTATAACCCATACTAAACAAGTGATTTTGAAGTGCAATGTATTACATTTTACTTTCTTCCCCGCCTTCCGTTAAAGCATAAATTATTTAAATTGATTAAAAAACAAGTTTATAACACGTTGAAGATAAGAATGGTCAGTAAGTTTTTTATAAAGATATGCATGTTCATGAAGTAGAATTTGATATAACCAAGAGTAACACATGATTAAGAAAATGAAGAAGTTTGCCATGATATCACTGCATTTTTGCCTGCTTTACAAACGGAAGTGTTACCAACCGAAGTAAAAAAATGATTGGTTATCATTATTTAACTGTTCAATGCTAAATAGTGTTATTTTATTTCTGTTTCTTATCTAAAGATTATATTTATTATATATTATATCATATATAGGTGATAATCAATTTGACTGAGTAAATCAATAATTATGCTTAACATTACAATCTCTATTCATTGCATGTTTTCAGTAGACAGTGGAATTATAATTACAAAACATATTTTTCTTTAGCCGATGTACTTGTATATTTGAATAGTTTATATGAATTAATTTAAGTTCAATTGTGTTTGAACCTATACGCTCATTGAAACACCCTAGAATACTTGAACCAATCTGTAATGAATGTAAAGTTTCTTGCTCTCATTTAATAAATGAATAGAAAAAGGACAGTTCATAATGTGTACTATATACAAAGCATATATAAAATTTTTACAGAGTCATATAATGTAAAATATTGAAATAAATTTCGTTTATTTAAAGATTTGTCGTTTCATTTATATAATTTTGCACATGTCAAGTCAGTTTCATTGTCACCATAAATTTGTGTCCATGTGATCAGTAATTAAAACAAATCTTCGTCTCATGATTGTAAGTAACTTAACATAAATGTAAATATGAAATAATTATCTTAGAATGTCGTAGTCATTTATCTTATTTAAATCTATATTTTAGTATTGCTGTATTAAAATAGTTTTTTTCCTGCATTTGTAAAAACTGGAATTATAAGATTTAAAACATTCAGCTGAATAAAGATGTTTTGCCATCGGGAAAAAGTGCAGCAGTTATAAAGATAAAGACAATATTGCAATTTTTAGTCAACACGTTTCTTAGAATAAGAGTAAGGTTGTCGTAGAATATAAAGCAATCATACATTCCTCGTACACATACTAAAATGTACGCAAGAATAACAATTACCATAATATTCATGCATTTTATATGCTTCAATTCTCTTTCTTTTTTCTTCTTTTAAAATGTCCTGTTTCAACCTTTGTTTTTCGTTTAGGAAAGGCGTTTTATAATTTATAATTTTAAACGTACGTTATGATTATTAATAAAGATGTTTTAAAATGATAACTAACATAGTTCCTATATTTTACGGTGAAGACAACGATGGCCGTGCAGAATGGAAAAAAAATAGCATCAATAACATCTTAAAGACTGTTTATCTTAATGATAAATATTAATTAATTTCAGGTTATCAGTCGTACTCGATTCATGTATGTTAACTTTTGTTCTAAAGAAATCTATTTTTTTCATTTCAGAAAGGATTCGTTTCAAACGTAAATGCTCAAAATGAAAATTCTCTGTCTATTATCTTGTATTGTGATGAGTTTAGCCGATAAAGAAAGTCTTATAACGAATGAAACCGGTAGCACTGATTCTGAGATATGTTCAAAAGATGAGGGAATTGCCAAGATTTGTCTTCAATGCAGCTTGTTGTCATTTTATGCAACTCCTTCACTAGAGACATGTTGTTCCGATGAAAGTGCTTTCCTATTGTGTGAAGCATGTGTTAACGACAAAGACTCATGTGAAACACTAATGAACGAATTAGAAGCTATTGATACTCTGGCAGAAGACGACGAAGACTACTTTGATGGCTCACGTAGAGGACAGGACTCTGGTGAAGAAAATTATCCTGATTCTCAAGCAGTAGACAAACGATATGGAAGGTTATTTGTTAACAGGAACCCAAAACGATATGGAAAGATTTTCTTTGGCAAACGAAGTGGACAAGCCGCAGATGATAATATGGATGAAATGGAGAAGCGATATGGTCGCATATTCTTCGGCGGTGGATCTTACTTTGGAAAAAGAAGCGAAATGGATAAACGTTATGGTAGACTGTTTACTAATTCCAAAAGTTATTTTGGTAAACGTTCAGAACCTAATGGAGATTTAGCTCAAGCTTTTGGTGATGAACAAGACGATTTAGAAGTTGCAAAGCGCTACGGTCGTGTTTATATGGGAAGCAGAAGAAATAAATTGTACGGAAAACGTTATGGTCGTATTTTCTTTGGTAAGAGAAGCAATGACGACATGGATAAGCGTTTTGGAACATTACATATGAACAAACGATTTGGACGCCTCTTTACCGGCAGACGGAAATACTATTTTGGAAAATAGGAAATGTTGTGCCTAACCGATGGTGTGTCAAGAAATTTCCATTTCATTATGTTATGCAAATACTTAGATTTTTTAAATAATTTCGGAGATGTAGCTGATCCAGTGAGAAAAGGAGTGCGTTGGATTGTTAAAATAAGGAAAGACTTTTTAAATTAATAAAATCAAAACCAATAGATTAAAAGAAATGTGAATATTACTAGGCAGTTCATATCTTAGAATGACACATTTATCACCACGTATAAATGTTTATCCCCAAGAGTACGCAGTCGACATTTGCTGTAATCTCTTTGTATAATATACAATTCATAATAAACAACAAAATCAATGTTTATCAAAAAGCTCACGATGTTTATGGATTTTAGCTTTTGAAAGTTACCTTTAGATATACTTCAGCTATAAACAATACATTATGCCGTGTATTTACGACTATATAGTTCGTATCGCAAATTGTGAAGGCGCAATGTACCTTCCTTTTTAACAATGTAGCGGACTGTATATAAACAAATTAAATTATGAACGGACATTTGATATAGTTACTGTTATGCTGTCAAATGTTCCATTTAAAAAAATGAATGTTCTCGTAAGCTGTTTTTAAAATATTATTTTTAACGTACACACATACATGTATATCCCGATGACTTACATATTAAATTCATTTTTATTTGCCCTATTTAACAATTTTCTTATTACAAAACTGAAAGATATGGCATCTGTTTCATTTTAGATTCGAATTTAAAGCGCTGAAAATATACGAAAGCAAATTATCTTATTAAGTTTTACTTTAGCACTTCAAAATACTAAATTTAAAGGAGTATAATAATTCTGGGTACTGCTCTTATATTTTAAGTTTTCTTAGATGAAATGTTGTTCATTGATATAAATGTATTTTACGTACTCTAAACACTTACATATATTAAATAAAGTAGTAAATAATAATACAATGACTTTGTTTTTTAAGGAATACAATTATACATTCCGCTCGTAATCATATAAAGGACTTAGTCTTTATGAAATGATTATTCCATTTTTAAAGTTCACAAGACAATAATATTAATACCACTATGACAACGGATTGCAGCATTGATTATTCGATGGGTATAATTTTAATATCAACATGTTCGGATTATTACGCACCATGTTACTGCAACTACTACTCGAGGCTTTTGAATGAAAGGTAATGTTGCGAGAGAGTGTGTGCATGAGATTTATTAACATCATAGAAGGTACTCCACTCACTCGTGAAAACAAAATATTGCCCAGCTTAAAATGTTCATTTGAAAAGGGAATACCCATCAAGTTTAAGGAAATGCCAAAGTACAATTTATTGGTTGAGAAATGTACTGCTTAAAATGTATAAAACTGCAGCCTTAAGCTGTTTCTGTAGATATTCTTATACAAATCCATACAAATAACATACTGTTGTCTTTTGAATAGACATATGATATGATATCGGTTTTATCAGGCGAGGTTTATATTGAATGAAAAAGGCTAGTCTCATAAAGACGTATTTAACAAAGTATGCGCCTAAAAATTTGCAATTGCATTGTTCTTGTAATATGATTATAGACGTGTCGCGTGAATAACGTTAAATCTTACAAATGTCATGTTCATTGGGCACAGTAAAGATCATGTTGATATAAAGATCTTAAACAGCGTAAACGAGTTTTTATTTAGTCGATGGTACAAAAAAAGAATAAAGACACGTAATGATCTTCACAATATAATGTAAATGCGAGTGATAGAAAAATATATATTCTTTATTACATTCCTTGTATTTTAGCAAATATTGAACCATAAAAAATTACATGTCCATGTGCCTGCTAAATAAAGATTGCAAACTTATTTTATTTAATAATTTATTTTTAATTCATTTTATTATTTTTCTATACACATTTTTTTGTTTCGATCATTTTGAGTAATAAGAATCAATGGCATAACATGACTTTTAGGAAAATCACAACATGATAAATCACGCCCCGTATAGGCACAAATACGTCAACCTCAGTTAGACAGTGAATCGTGAAATGCAAATATCTATATGTAGAGCAATAAACCACACAGATAATCATAATGATCATTACTCTGCCGAATTGGTATGATAACAGATTTGCCTGTCTTTGAATTTTGAAACAGTCCTTCCAAGTTAAGGGATTGTATCATCATAGTACAATGAAAAGAGCTTCCGACAATATAGAACATTGGCAGAATGCACTGTTATTCTGGTGGAAAATGCTAACCACTTACGGTTTCAATATGTTAAAGTTAAACGAAAAACATACAAACAAACCGAAAATTAACTAATAATTTCTAAGTCATGAAAATTCAATTATTATAGTAAACTTATTCTGAAATGTATCAGTAATTGTGCACGAGGTACAAATAAAATGTGTGATATAATTCTATAAGTATGCAAATGTTTTCATATGATATCAAAATAAAATCAGCCAGAAGATTATAGCACGGTTCAGCTCTACTTTGCTTTTAGATTATTTAGTTTAAGAAGCACCAGTCCGTAAATACTTTTATGCAGATTAATGTAAATCCATTATTTAAAGCAAGTATAAAAAATATATCAATTTTGATAGCTATTGTCTAGTATTCGATTTTAATTGAATATATAAAATTGATTTGAATCATTTTTTCCCCTCATGCATAACAGGTTTAACCACACACCTGTCTTCCATGTCTCCTAAGTATTCATTACTCGAGCGCCTTGTCAAAATAGATGACAATAATAACAGTCCCGGTAATTTCATTATCAAAACATAAATGACAACACTCGTGCGTTAAAAGCATTTTGAAATTGGTTTAAAATAAGTTAACGGAAATGAAAAACAATTAATAAGACGCTAGCTTACTGAGTCAGTCATGTGTTTTTATAAACTACACTAATGCACATTTTATCTGCAGAAACCCAAATTCTTTATTTAACATATTGTCCTGCGAGCTCAGGCTTTTAATACTCCCTCGTACTTCCTTTAATATCTTTGTAAACATTTGTTATAGTGAATATAGATCCTATTATATCAACTGATATAACTATTATCATTGTTTATCAAGTATCAAATAAAGTTTCAATCAACAGAAATGAAAAGTAAATACATAATTATTATGATAAAATGAATCCCGGCGATATTTTCAATTACATAATCTAGTTTAATTTCTTATAACTCAGGGCGGCAACAACAGGCCATAAGTTTAATGAAAAGAATTTATACGGTTGTATGGATAATCATTTCTTGAAAGATAAGTAATATGTAGAAATTAACCCCCCAGGTAAAAATACAATAACAGATAACAATGAAACGCTTTTGTTACTTTAGGTTAAATAGATGAAGGTTTCAATGGTAAGTATACGAGCGTACCGTTATGTTGTTATTATCAAAAAATGTAGTGCTATTTGCATATAAAAGTTGTGTACGCAGCATGCCTCCAGATTCATGATATTTGTTATGATAATGTATTACAAAATATAGTGAAAAAAACATTAAGTGTATACATCGCAAACAGCCCAAAAAATCACTGAAAATAGAAAAAGAAAATAAGTCGGAATATGCAACTAAGCCATTGCTGCGTTAGTTGCGCAAAAGAAATATTCTGCTCAATACTGCAAAATCAATCATGAATTGCATATAACATATGAAATATTGCTTAAATTGTAAATATTTCATTTTTCTTAAAATCTTAATACGTTTTTTAATGATGATTTTCTTGAAATATTTTGGCTTTAGTTATCTAGAGCATACAAAAAAGTTTAACACAGATTGACAGTTTAAAAGCCGTTTGAACATATTGAATCATATTGGACCATTGAGTGTTGCACAACCATAACGCAAACAATTATGCTGGGATCCCATATTTTTCATTCCATTCCTTTTTCCCCAAAAGTAATCAGTCTACCAAAATGTTTATGTTATAATATTCAAATATATAGTTGTTTTTTGTTTTATTTGATATGTAATTTGACTTTGAAAAACTCTCTGCCATTTGACATATGGCACCTGAAAGACTACAAGTATAAATAATTGATCGAGTTAAAAACATATTCTTGTCCTTCTCACACTTTTTTGAACAGAAACAATAGAACTTGTTACTCAATTCAAATACAAAATAAAGATTTCCTAAAAGTTCAACAATTTCACTTACAACAAAACACGAGTTTATTAATACATTTCATTATTTGAACTCAGGAGTATTATCAGGAAATAGGTGATTCCATGATACATAGTTATAGAAGGGCTTCATCCGTGCCGAATCAATAAAAAGTGTGTGAATCTGGTAAATTGAAATGGAATTTAATCCGATTTTTTTTAACGCTTTTTAGTAAATCCCTGTATGTCCTTTGTCTAAGTGAACAGACTTGTCTTTTCTGTACTTAGCTATATTTAGAATACCATCTTGCTTGGGAACGTTATAATACATTTGGAGCTAAAATCAATTCATATTCCAATTTGACAACTGAAATTGTACTCATATTGACAATATGAAAATAGTTAGCAATACTAGCCTAGGGAATTAAAAAGTCACTAACAGCTTATATTAATTTCATGCGTGAAGAAACAGAACAATGACCAATTAAAAACAATGCTAATAGGGATGATTATTGAAAATAAAAACAATAATAATAGGGATGATAACGCAAAACAATAACAATAAAAATAGGGATGATAGCGAAAAATAAGCTTGACATAATATTTGTCTGATTCTTGCCATTTTTCTATTTCATTGCAACCAGAATAATCCTTTGATATAATATTTTACTTAGTATGCAGTCTTTGAAATACTTTAAAAACTAAACCATAGTAATGCATATGTTTTCTTGTTTTAAGATAATGGAAACATCTGTTTGTTTATCTCACGGCGTTTGGTCCATCAAACGGCTTTTCTAAATAACTGACCAGATATTATCAATGTTTCCACAAGTGACTGACTTTTAACCAAAATTATTTCTGAATAAGCGACGAGAGACAAAATAAAAAAGAGCCAATGTCCGAGATCAATTGTCGCCGTGAATTTTCCCCTCTCTTAAAGGTCGAGTCATAGACACCTGGATAACGTAAACAGCGGACAGACGAAATATGCTAAAAATATGTAAAATGTCTTAATTCAATCCATGTTACCTGAAAGCACGTAGAAATGAAAAAAAATGAAATTCATAGGTCTTCAGGACAAATGAGAAGACACTTGCACGGGCTTATAAAAGTTTTTTCAACAATTCATAAATTGAAGAATTTTGACTTTTTGCAGTCTGTTAATTTTAACTTTGTGTTTCATTAGTTGAAAAAGAATTTAACATTCAAGAATACATAATGATAAAACTAATGAAGATATCTGTCAATTAGATTATATTTTTTAAATGTCACGTTCATTATCTCACATGAAGATTTTTTTTCTGATTTATACTAATGATATATATATAAATTGGGAAATCATGTTATTTGGATTTATCGATAGGGTTTATGTTCGCTGTAAAGTCATTGATGGATTTCGTTGATGTTAACAATATTAGCACAAATGAATTTGTCTTAAAAAATTTATTTTGACGTTTTGTCATTTATATTCTATTTTTACAAATAGTTTTCGTTTTGTCATTTATATTCTATTTGTGAAAATAAAACATTCGTCAGATTTATACAATTTATACAGAAGATCTAAAATAGGCGGAGCTAAAAAATATATCTCTTTAAATTGAAAGAAAATAAACAAAGGCATACATTTGCATGTAATCAAACACGGACATCACTTTCGGAGAAAATAATAAAATACCGTCCGTGGTGACAGTCAACACTTTCATTTTAATATCTCATGGCCATACAATATGATTAAATTCTATCTTTTTCATTCTTAGGTAGCAGAGAGAAGTAACGTGAATGCTTTAATCAGATATAGCTTCCCTAATGTCGCACTCTTATTTTTTATTGCATGATTCCAACTAGGATAA